AAGGACAGGGGGAGTTTAAACACTGCTAGTGTAGGAGTCTGGTGGCTTTGAAGAGAGCGATATACCAACATCAGAGCTAACATGTTGTAATTGTCTCTCTAACATGATTAAATCCACCTGACTGCAAACAAGCTATCTCATGTTTCCTGCGTCTGTCTGTCCGTCAGGCTGATTGTCAGTAAGAAGGAGAGGATGCTGGTAAAGGGAACTGGTTTTCACCTGGACCTCCTCATCATCGTGGTGGTGGGCGGAGTTTCGGCACTGTTTGGGTTGCCCTGGTTATCCGCCGCCACGGTCCGCTCTGTCACCCACACCAACGCCCTCACTGTCATGAGCAAAGCTGTCGCCCCCGGAGACAAGCCCCGCATCCAGGAGGTGAAGGAGCAGCGGGTGACAGGCTTCCTGGTGGCTGTTTTAGTGGGTACGACTGTCTGCAGCGTCCTTCAACCATTACTGCTGCTGTTACTGTCTTTACTGTGGCTGATCTGGTTCCTCTCTGCCCTCTCAGGTCTGTCCATCGTGATTGGGGAGGTTCTGCGTCAGATCCCTTTGGCAGTGCTGTTTGGGATCTTCCTTTACATGGGTGTGATGTCACTGAACGGGATCCAGCTCACAGAACGACTCATCCTGCTGCTGATGCCCCCGAAGTACCACCCCGACCACAACTACGTCCGCAAGGTCAGCCCCCCCCGACCAAATTCATCAACATCCACTTGACTGAAAGCTCCAGTGTGTAACATTACTGTAATATATTATATAATATTATATCATATTACTGTAATATGATATAATATAATATAATATAATTTAATAAAGTAATATGATGTAATAAAGGACGTTCAGTCATGTTTAGTTTGGTTATTCCCTGTTTTACTTTGAAAGTCTCACTCTTGTGTCAATAACTTCACTTCCTGTCTTTGTCAGTTTTCCCACCAGTTATGATTGCCTGATTAGTTTTACCTGTGTCTCTCTCACAGGTGAGGACGTTGAGGATGCACCTGTTCACTATCGTCCAGCTGACCTGTCTGTCTCTGCTGTGGGTCGTCATGGCGACGGCAGCGGCGCTGGCGTTCCCCTTCATGCTGCTGATGACCATCCCGGTGAGGATGCTGCTGCTGCCCCGCCTCTTCACCTGGAGGGAGCTGCAGAGCGTGAGTCACACCTCCATCACACTGATGTCATCCTGACATCATCATTAGCACAGGTAGCTGCTAACATGGCTAACAGAATCAACAGTTAATCAACACTGCTAGTTATAGACTGT